TGAATGTGTTTCAGGTGTGTTTGGTGATACAGGTGTAATGAAGTCAGTGTCCGTAACTGAGGGAGATTCTGTCACTCTACACACTGATGTTACTGAAGTACAGAGAGATGATCAGATACTGTGGATGTTTGGACCTAAAGAGACTCGAATAGCTGAACTCTATAAACATACGATTGATATGTTTAACAGTAATGAGACATTTGGAGACAGACTGCAGTTGGACTCTTTCACTGGATCTCTGACCATCAGAAACCTCAGAAGCACAGACTCTGGACTTTATAAACGACAGATCCGGAGCGACAGAGGGAACTCGGACAAGACATTCGATGTTACTGTCTATGGTAAGACAAATATGACTTAGAATATGTATAAATTGATATGAAGCTTATTATTGGACTGGTAGTGAATCAGGAATATGACAGCTCTAAAAATTAAGTTTTGCTAAAAATGAAATGTATATTTCCCAACCATTTGATTTTTTTCACCAGTAAACTATAAACCATTGCCCTTTCTTAATACTGAATGAATTAATCTTTTTTAAATGAATATTTAATGCAGACTTTATTATCTATGCTTTCTGTTTCTGTTTTTGTAATGTGGACTTAATCCATGGTGATAATGTTGTGTAGCTCAATTCTGATTTCCATGTTTTGGATGTTTTTTATTATTGCTCTGTTTCATCTGCATTTAGATCCTGCTGTCCCTTATGTCTGAAATTGCCCACATGCCCACAATATGCTTATTTAATGTACATGTTTTTCAGCTCATCTGCCTGTTCCTGTCATCACTAGTAACTCTTCAAACTCTTTTTCACCATCATCATCATCAGGATCATCAGTTTCCAGATGTTCACTGCTGTGTTCAGCTGTGAATGTGAGTGATGTGACTCTCTCCTGGTACAAAGGAAACAGTTTATTGTCCAGCATCAGTGTGTCTGATCTCAGCATCAGTCTCTCTCTACCTCTGGAGGTGGAATATCAGGATAAAAACAGCTACAGCTGTGTGCTTAACAATCCCATCAGCATCCAGACCACACATCTGGACATCAGTCAACTCTGTCAGACATGTACAGGTAGCGCTCATCAGTGATCTTAAAAATAATGTAATTTATGCTAATTTCTAAAGCAGTTTAAAACCCGTTTGTTGGTTCACCCTGGTTGAGTTTTCAATTGACAAAAATAATAGTGCGAGCAACCAATCATAACAAGATGAAGCAACTGGTGCCCTCTATTGGTCAACACACACACACACACACACACACACACACACACACACACACACTCAGGCACTGCTGCTTGTTCTTTCATTTAAGTGGGCACTGTCCCTGCAAAATATGAAAATTCAGAGTTGGAACAATCCTTTTTTTTTCATTCAAACATAATTTAATGAGATTTTAAAAACAACCATGTGATTCCTCCATTATTTTCTTTCTCCAGGCTTTTATTGCAATTCTGTGAGTGTGACTCCATCCCTGATTTATGCTGTGGTGGGCGTGGCCGCTGTTGCTCTACTTGTTTGTTATGTCAGGTCTAGAACGGATTGGAAAAAGAAAAAGCCACCATCACAACCTCACTGACGCGATTCTGTCCTATGGCCACCAGGTTGCAGTAACTCATAATTGTTCAATCAAAATCATGTGCACTTCCCAATGTAAATAAAATATGGCAAACGTGCTTCTTTGTAGTCTACCAAAATTCTTGTTTCATTAAATCATCAATCACGCTGTATGCACGACTGCAGCCTTAAATGCAATATGTCAAGCTCCCATAGCAGGTACAAAAGTTATTTCTAATACAGTGGTTTTCAGTTTTGTACCTGCCCCTTTAAACCGTCTGCTAGTGCGATTTACAACCCCCCCCCTCCCCCAACCCTAACACCAATGTAATTTGAGGATCATTGTCAATTTCAATCCACCGTTTAGGAATTCACATTCACTCGTCTTGAAAATAACCAGCTGTTAATAATGAAAAGGGAAAACAGGCAAACAAAAAGAAAAAAAAAGAAAGTTTATCAAGACAGCACAGAGCTCGGTCAAAAAGCCTGTGAGTGTGAAGCAACAGTGTATGATGAGACATGTAATGACTTGCAGTGCTATGATACAGAGCAGAAAGGTAAGAATTACGGGAAGGATAGCAGGGGTTGGGGTGGAGTCTTGTGGCTTTACATAAGAACCCTGAGGACAT